TAATGGAAGACTTTACATCCAGTAAAATGATTAAATAATAAAAAGAAAACATATCTCAATAGTACACATCTTTCTCCCAGCACCCATACAGCATGTTGGTGGAGTTAACTATGCATCGGGATATATCATATTATTAAAATTAATCTTTTTGACATATTGGTAGGTTTCCCAGTCAGGTAGGGTTGTATTTATTGTTGTTGTTGTTAACTGCCTTCATGTCGGTCTTGACCCATGGCGACCCTATGGATGAGACATCTCCAGGCCCCTTTCTACTACTCTGCCCAGCTCCTGCAAACTCATATTTATTGTCTCTTTTAAAGCATATGGCCTTCTACTCTTTCTACTTCCCTCCAGCTTACCTAACATTATTGTCTTTCCCAGTGATTCATGCCTTCTCATGATGTGCCCAACGTATGACAGTCTAAGTCTTGTCATCTTCGCTTCTAGGGATATTTCTGGCTCAATCTGCTATAGGACCCATTTGTTTGTCCTTTTGGCTGTCCATGGGATCCTCAGCACTCTTCTCCAGCACCACATCTCAAATGAATTGGTTTTCCTCCTATTTTCTTTCTTGACTGTCCAGCTCTCACATCCATACATGGTAATAGGGAATACAGTGGCTTGTATGATTCTGTCTTTTGTGCTAAGTTGTATGTCTTTGCATTTTAGGATCTTTTTTGGTTCTTTCATAGCCGCTCTCCCCATTCTTAATCTTCTTCTGATTTCCTAGCTGCAGTTCCCCATTCTGATCAATGTATGATCCCAGATATAAGAACTATTTTACTCTTTCTATTTCCTCATTGTCTAGTTTGAACATGTGTAGGTTCTCTGTGGTCATTATGTTCAGCATTGAGCCTGCCTTTGCACATTCTTCTTTGATCTTCCTTAGTAGCTGTCCCAGGTCTGTGAGGTTCTCTGCTAGTATTATGGTGTTGTCAGCATATCTCAATTTGTTGATATTTCTTCCTCCTATTTTTACTCCTCCCTCCTCCATTTCCAAGCCTGCTTTCCTTACAATATGTTCTGCATATAAGTTGAATAGATAGGGTGATAGGATGCAGCCTTGTCTGACTCCTTTGCCAATCGGGAACCATTCTGTTTCTCTGTGTTCTGTCCTGACAATAGCCTTTTGTCCAGAGTACAGATTCCTCATTAGGACTATCAGACGTGTTGGCACTCCCATGTCTTTAAGGATGTCATGATCAGTCAAAGGCTTTGCTGTAGTCTATAAAGCACATGCTGATTTTCTCTTGGAACTCTCCGCTACGCTCTATTAGCCATTGTCTATTTGCAATGTGATCCCTGCTGCCTCTTCCTTTCCTGAACCCTGCTT